ACCCCTGCCCAGCCCAGCCCAGCCCAGCTGCTGCTTGGCCTAATAATGCTCTTCATTCTCATTTTCTGTCTATATTAGGGTTTCTCAGCCTTGGAACTATTGACATTGGGCCTGGATAATTCTGTGTTTGGGGCCATCCTGTGCATTGTAGAATGTTGAACAGCCTCCCTGGTCTCTATCCACTAGATGCCAGCAGCACCCCCACCCAAACACACACAGTCATGACAATAAAAAATACCTCCAGACACTGCCAAATGTCCCCTGGTTTGGGGGGGTGGTGGTGAAAAATCACCCCCGGCTGAGCACTGTTCTGGATTGACCAGGGGTGTCTATGCATGATTTTCTGGCCTACCTGAAGGGAAAGATACAGACAGTGTTTCTATCCCCAGAGCACTGGCAGAGGGGCCGGGAGGGAGGGAGAGGGTGGAGTAACAGCAAACAGGCACCATCTAGCAAAGAACAGGTTTAATCATTCTGATGTTTTGTAGCACATACGGGTGGGAGTCACTCTCATGACAGACGGAGGAAACCGAAGCAGAGAGAGGCTGCCTGGTCACGGGCTGTGAGTGCAGAGATGGTGGCTCGTGGGGAGCAGGAGTGTTTGGAATAAGGGGTGCGGAGGGGGGTGTTCTAGCATCATTGGTTTTCAACTTTCCCACCACACACGGTAGGTAATATTCACCATAACAACATATCCAGAGGCACACCAGACATGCATGTAATCCCCACCTTGCTTTCTCCCAGGAGGGCAAGGAAAGCACGTCAGTGATTCGTGCCTGTGACAGCTCAGCCATCACTCAGGGCGTGTGCGTTCTTGCACACGTTCAGTCACTCAGGGTGTGCGTCTGCTGCACACCCGCGCGGCTGGGGGTGATGCGGCACAGCTGAGAGAATGCAGGTTATTCCCATTTTCTACCCACTCTGTCTCGAGCTCCTCCTTTGCTCTCCTGCTCAGGAAAGCACGGCAGGACGTCAGCAAAAGTAGTTAGCAATTTTCATCCTCCTTGTGACAGCTCACGCCTGAGCACGCCGCTGCAGGGAGCTGCAGCTCCTGGGCTGAACCCCTGTTCCACAAGCCCAGAGGCAGAAGCCACACAGGGGTGCTGGCTGCAACGATACTTCCACAGGCTCGACTCTAGGGGGAGCCAACACATTCCAGTCTATGAAAGCAGGGTCCCGGGGCTGTTGCCGCAGACAACATACGTGAGGAAATGGGCCGCATCCCAGAAGCCCCCCACCCCCAGGGGCAGGGGGAGGTGGAGGCGTTCAGGGGGAGGGTGTTGCAGTTGAGCAAACTGGCCCGAATCCCACTGGTGCTTTGTTTGCCCTCTCAGTCTTCTGGAGTCCTTGTCTCTAAAATGGTTGGTAGTGAAAACTGACCGGACACACATATGGATGTGCATAGGGTTTATTCTGTGTTGTTTTTTAAAATATATCTTTATTGATTTCAGAGAGAGTAAGGGAGAGGGAGAGAGACAGAAACACCAATGATGAGAGAGTCACTGATCAGCTGAAGGCCCCTTACTGGGGATCGAGCCCACAACCCAGGCATGTGCCCTGACCAGGAATCGAACCTCGATCCCCTGGATCATAGGCTCAACTGCCAAGCCACGCCGGCCATGCCGTGCATAGGGTTTAAATAGCATCCAGCGCACGGCAAATGCTCAGACACAGGGATAATTTAACATTCTGACTTATACAGCCACAGTTTTCAGGCCCTGGGGATTCCTTACCTTTCACGAGCCATACATTGAACTGTATCTAAAAGGCCAACAATACCAGCTGAATAACCGGAGTGCCTTAGGTTCCTCCAAGCGTGGCTAACAATAGGCCTTTAGGCACCCGTTTCTGTTTCAAACGGTGGTGCCCCATGCGCTTCGGCAACTGTTCTTTACTGGTCTGTTCTGTGGCAAGTGCTGTGCTGAGCTCTGTGTATTTCACTTAGTTTCCATGGCTAAGGCCTTAGGCCCCAGGGAGTGTGACAGAGTCTGAATTGCAAAGCTTTGATTCCGATGCCACAGTTCTTGGCTGAATTGGGTGTCATTTAAGCTCTGAACCTTAGTTCCACCTGTAAAAGGCAGAGAGCAATGGCATCTGAAACACAGGAAGCCTGCAGGGCAGCTTGCAGGGGGGCTTGTCCACTCTTCAATACGGTAGGAAGGCACCTTGTACTTTGTAGAGTTTGAAGCAGGGAGGTTTATATGATCAGAACTATGTTTTAAAATGATTTATTTTTAACAGCTCCCTAGCCTAGTCCAATAACAAGGTGGTTAATTTTCGATGGTGTTAAGACCCAGTTCCGCAGCCAGTTCCTGGGACCTGAGAATGGTCAGCATTCCTGAGGCAAACTCCAGGAGGGGGGTCAGGCTCCAGGCACAGCAACCAAATCAAAGCACATCCTGTTCTTTGTTCAGCATTTTCTTTTCTGAGCGATGGACCCATCCAGGCCCCAAGGGGTCTCATCTTTTGACAGCTCTGTTTCTCTTCTTGCAGCACATCCTCCAGTTTCCCAGGGTCTGTAGGAAAACCTCTTATCTATAGTTAGTAAGGTGAACAGTCATCTGACAACTATGGTCCTGTTCCTGTTAGGTGCCCTCCCTTCTTTCACTATCATGCTTAACAGTATGGTCAACATCTCTGCCCCCAATGTTATCACAAATAATTAAAATAATTATAAAGAATAAAGAGGTTGGGAGGAAACTTTTTGAGGCTGTGGATATGCATATTGTGGTAAATATTTCTGTTCTATGCTTCTCTCCAAACTCACCAGGTTACATGCATTATGTATACTTTTTGTATGTCAATAAAGTGGTTTTTTTTTAACTTTTAAAATAAAAATAAATAAAATGATCCCTTGGCTACTCTCAGGAGAGCATTCCATAAGAAGGCTGGGTAAAGCTCTCAGCACTCCCAAATCTTGAAAATACTCCCAAATCTTGCATCCCCAGCCCACACCTACTCTAAGCCACCTCTCCCCCGACACATCCCCTTGGTGTCAGAGAGGATATCTGGCTTAATATGAACAGACTTTGAATTTTCACGCAGCCCCCACCTCAGAAAACGGTGTCACTGCCTACACGCTGGCTCAAGTTACAGATTTAGGTAGCATCCTGGTGTCCCCTCCCCTTCACCACCCACATGCGACCCATCACCAAATGCCGCAGGCTCCGAGTGAGGGGCTCGGGACGTCCAGCCCACTGTAAGACACAGCCATCCTCTGCTCCGGGCTCCCGGAACTCCTACCGACCTTCTTCTCCCAGCCCAGTGGCCATGGAGTGATCTTTAAAAATCGGAGTGTGACTATGCCGTTCTTGACGTAAGGTGTAAGATCCTTCACTGTCTTCCCTTTGCTCTTTGCTATGAAGTTCTTGCTCTGTGAGGCCCTGCATAATGGGCTCCTCCTTCCCCCATTTACTGTTTGCTCACTAGGCCCAGCCACACTGACACCATTTCTTTTTCTTAAATGCAGTAAGCGCCTCCCAGTCTCTGCCTTTGCATTGCTGTGTCCTCTGCTGGGAACACTGTCCCCCAGGTCTTGGCATGGTGGCAACTTCTCATTCTTTGGTTCAGTGGGAAGAACTCCTTGGTCATTATGGCAAACGAGGCCTCCCCCGGTTATTTATTACCCTTTTACTTTCTTCAGTGAACTTACCACAATCTAATATTTTCTTCACTTGCAGCAGGTAGTGTCTAAGGTGGAGCCCATGACCTTCCCACCCTCCCCCGTGGTATGCATGCCCAGTGGGATCCCCTCCTTCTGAATGAGGGTGGGACCTGTGATTGCTTCTAAGCCATAGAATACGGTAAAAGTGACAGGATGGATGTGATCACACATCACAAGAACGTGACATCGTCTTTCTAAGAGACTGCCTTGGTGGCTTTGAAGAAGCCAGCCAGCACCTGTGCGTGGCCACGTGAGAGGGACCATGGGCCTCAGCCTCACAGCCTCACAGCCTGCAGGAACTGGACGTTGCCAACGACCATGTGGGCTTGGGTGTAGACCCTTCCCCAGGTGAGTCCAAATGACAACCCAGCCCATGGGGACCCAGCGAAGCCGTGTCAGGACTCCTAACACAGAAAAGTGAGATCACGTGTTCTTCCAAGTCCGTGGTTTGTGGTAAATTGTCATGTAACAACAGAGAAGTGATACACCTGTTATGTGACTCCCACATTAGAAAGTAAACTCCAGGAGGCCAGGGACCTTTTCATTCTGCGTCACTGAAACCTCAGAGCCCAGGAGTGGAGAGCCTGACACACGATAGCAGACACTGGCATGGAGGAAACAAACATTCAGTAAACACTACCTGGTAATACTAATACCCGTGTTCAGGCAGGAATAGGCAGTTCTTCTCTGGGAGAGGTGAAGGCACTTTTAGTGACAGATATGGCTGTCACGGTATGCTAAGAGTTTCCAAATTCAGGCCTTTATGCCCTACTGTGGCAAGTAGCCCACATTTATTTTTGTGTGCCTAGCTAACATTTCCTTTTCTTCTGATATTCCTTTGTGAGTCTCCTCCCATCCCTCTGCACCCCAGTCCCCCCGCCCTGTGTGGAACAGTGGAGCTGACCTCACTCTCCCCTGGTTCCTGAAGGGCATGCCCCAGCCCTGCCCTATCAGCATATTCCATCCCCCTGGTCGCTGAGATTGGTCCAGGGTTGCTCACATGACTCAAGTCTGTCTACTCAGAGCCAAACCCACAAGATCTGTACGTACTATTGGAAAAGAGTGGCTTCCTTGTCCAGTACAAAGTGCTAACTAGAAGGCTGATGTGAGACTAGAACTGCTGATGTCCACCCAGGGAGGGCCTGCCCGAAAGAGCAGCTCACGCCAGGAAAAGCAGTGCTGAGACACGAAGGGAGCGATGCCTAATGACACCACTCGAGCCCCTGGATCCAGCAGTGCCTGAAGGCCTACCCTCTGGCTTTTTAGTTGAGTGAAATGAATCCCTGTCCCGCAACCCTGTTTTTTAAGCCACTCTGAATTGAGTGTCTACCACTAGTAACTGAAAAAGCCCTTTTACTCAGGATCTGCCATGAAATCGACAGAAAGAACAAGGGGGTCTGATGCCTAGAGAGGACAGGAATAAAGAGTGAAACAAAAAGCTCATCTAAACAAATATTGACTAAAATGCCACAGCACATAAAGCACTGAAGTAGAAATCCCATAGGATTTTAAAATTTCTGTAGCCCTTCAGCATTTTCATAGAACTTTTTAAAGAAACGGCTTAACAGTCCTTTAAAACAATACAAAAGTATCAAGTGCAAAGAGTAAAAGCACTTAACAGTGCTCCACAGTGGGTGCTATTCCTTTAGACTTTTTAAAAAATGCTCTTGACTATAAAATTAAGTTTGGACTGTTTTCCAACTTTGAGAGTCCGTTATTGTCCAATGTTGATGTTCTTTCTGATAAAAAGCTAATAAAACAGAAGGGTTTGTTATGTTTTGGATATTTCCTACCCTCACTCTTGTTTCAAATGAATGGAGAAATATAAACAGCATTCTCATTTCTTAAAAAAAGAAGAAAAAAAAAAGAAAGAAAAACAATCCATGATTGCCTCAAATTGGGCCCTTGACAAGATCCTTGGGTCAAGTCGACCTTGGGGTCACGTGGCCAGGCTCGAGGCTGAGGACCCTGCCAAGGTCAAGTCTGCATCACTGGGGAGAAGGGGTGAGAGGCGGGTAGTTCGCAAGTGGCTACTGCAGGATCCTACGAACAAGTGAAAATGCAGAGGACACATCCATGGAGTGCCTGACTAGTCATAGCGCCCTCCGAGCCACAATCCCAAGGGGCAGGTATGGTCCAACAACCTTCCAGAGACGACTGGAAAAATGCTCCGTCCGTCAGGTCATTCTTGGTAGAGCCCCTCCACGCCTGCAGGCTTCATAGCCAGCGGGCAGTCGCTGCTGGAGTGCTGGGCCAGAGGCCTGTTTGATAAGAAGAGGAAGTGGTTAGCTCCAGGGCCTCTTTAAAGAGCAGTGCTGAGAGTGCACACAGCTGACAGGTGACCTTCTCTGTTAGTTTATTTTTAGCTGCTTGTAGCTGTACAGATTGCGGGCTATACCAATTTTACAGGTGAGGAAACTGAGGGCACGAAAGGCTAAAGGGACTGAGATGGACGTAGGGGTGAGAGCCCCTTTCCCTTGTCTTATTTGGATATCGCGCCTTCCCCGATTGTTGTCCGTGTTCTCACAATCCAGGGAGAGAGGTAGAGCAAGGAGTAGCCCTATTTTACCAATAAAAAAAACCTGAGCCCTGGCCGGGAAGCTCAGTTGGTTTGACTGTCCTCCCGATACACCAAGGTTGTGGGTTCCATCTCCCATCAGGGCACATATAAGAATCAGCCAGTGAAGCACAAATAAGTGGAACAACAGATCGATGTTTCTCTGTGTGTTTTTCTCTCTCTCGCATCAATAAATTAAAAAATAAAGAAAGAAAAAGAAAACTGAGAACAGAGAAGTTAAACAGCTTGCTCAAGATTACACAGCTAAAAAATGGCAGAGCTGGGATTCAGACCCATATCTTCAGGTTCCAATTAATTGACTATTTCTTGATGACTTCAACAGCAGGGAGGTGGTGGGGGGAGTGAAACAGGTAAGTCTTTTTCAGTCCCTGTGACGGCAAGTTTCAGAGGGAAGTGGAGGGCAGGTGGTGCTGTTGATATTAACGTAACTGGATCTATGGATTATCTTAGAATTCCCAGGGGTCTTGCCAACACCGACACCCACTGTTGCACACCAGAGCTCGGCACCCAGAGCATCCATCTGACAAAACTCTAGCCAAGGAGGTTGGTTGGGGGAGGGTGGGGAGAGGTCCTGGGAAAAATTTCAATTCCTTGACAGACAGGGCCAGGCTCCTCGCTGAGTGCACACTCATTTTTATTCGCCTTGAATGCAGTGGGTGCAGCCAGAGCCGCAGCATCTTCCCTGTGGCTACGAGGTGCCAAACCAATTGGCTCCAGACAGCAACACAGGAAGGCAGTGTGTTGATGGCACCACATTTGTTATGCCATAAAAATAAACTCCTATTGGTTTAAGCTGGAATCTGCTTCGATTTTTCATTACTTGGCAGCCAAAGCATCCCTACCTGAGGCTAGACACGCTCTGGTTGCTTTGGGGGACTAAGTGTGACGTACGTGAGGTGATGTGGTGGCTCTACACAGACACGGGTTTCCCTGGCTCCCCACGTTCCCCAGCTGCAGGCCCTGAGGTCTTGCTGATGCCCGGCCAAGCAGCATGGTCTCTCCTTCTCAAAGGCTAGTTTATCTACACAGATTGCTTAGTCAGTTTCCATAAGAACGCCCTATAGTTCTGCTTCCTTATTTCTTTTAAAAAAAATTTTAGTTGTGTTATCTTCTGTTTTAGGGTCAAAATTCCATTTGCATCATGGAAAAAAGTGGATAGTTCCTCTTTTTCCCCTATGCTTTGGACCATTTAAGAAGAGAGTTATCTGTTTCTTGAGTTTTGAAGAATTCAGTAATGCAAAGGTTTTCAGGTGACAACTATCTTCATAATAACATATAACACACGACATGTCTTTTTCACTCTCATTCTGGAGTTTTCCACAGTATATTTGGAAGAGCGGCATGACCCAATGAACCAATATTCTCCAATGACCAGTGCATGAAGTTACAAAATCCTGCATGGTTAAATAAGTCTACTGAAAGTACAAGATAGACCAGTGGATTTTAATATAACAAAGTATGGCAGGGCATCGAATCACGCCTTTTTGGTACAGCACTGACGAGATGCCGGGGGAGCGCAACGCGGTTACATAATCACCCGTGGAAACTGGTTTCGTTCACCCTTCTGCTCAGTCTCAGGATCTACCGATGACTTTAAATGAGGGGTCAATGCACAAAAAGTTCCCCTTTCAGTTTAACCGTTAAGAAGCTGCCATTTATTGAGTGTTGGTGCTGTCAAAGACCATCCCTAGCCGTCTGAAAAGCATCTCCTGTCTTTCCAGCCACACGTTTGGGAGGTGGGGTCACCTCCGAACACTTCAGCCGGGTAACACCCACGGGATGAGCGCGGTGCCCGAGCGAGCGCCCGCCCGCGCCCAAGGCAGCCGGCCAAGGTCTCCGCAAAATGCGGAACGAGGCCGCTGGCTCCCTTCATTTTGTGTTGGAAACGGTCACTTTTCATAAAAACATGTTCTTGATATCAACAGGTAATACTGTCCTTTTTAAATGCGTATTTTTTAGATTTGTTATGATTTCCATGTGGATATAATGAAACCACATAAACAAAAGCTCTCTGACTCATCTTTTTTTTTTTAATCATCACCTGAGGATATTCTTTCCATTGCTTTGCAGAGAGAGTGGAAGGAGAAAGAGAGAGAAAGAGAGAGAGAAACATCGATGTGAGAGAGACACACTGATGGGCTGCCTCCCGCACTCGCCCGACAGGGGCCAGGGATGGAGCCTGGAACCGAGGTGGGTGCCCTTGGCCGGCATCAAAGCGGGACCCTTCAGTCCGCAGGCCGGCGCTCTAACCACTGAGCCCAACCGGCCAGGGCGAGACTCATCATGTTTAAGGAGGTAAAATGGGACCTGGGAACAAGGCTGAGAACTGCCGCCATCGAGAAAACAATGGGTCTGAGCGCCTTGTCTGGGAGCAGAAGGGGAGGAAAAGAAGACCAAGGACAAACCCTGACCGTCCTTTTCGATGTCTAAGTTTTGCTGCTGCCTCGGGTACAGCAGAGCCGGCTGCGGCAGGGAGGGCCCCGGACTCAGACGCGTCAGCCTCGACGAGCCAAACAGACCAACATGGCCCCTCTTATCTCCTCTAAGACCACAGTGATCAAAACAATTTATAAGAAGCCAAGTGCTACTCCAGGGATATCACCTATGCTCAAGGGCTCTTCTTTTTCTTTTCTTCTTTTTTAATATCTTTATTGATTTCAGAGAGAAGGGAGAGAGAGAGATAGAAACATCGATGATGAGAGAGTCATTGATCGGCTGCCTCCTGCACGCCCCCAACTGGGGACCAAGGCACAACCTGGGCATGTGCCCTGACCGGGAATCGAACCCCGATCTCCTGGATCCTAGGTTGATGCTCAACCGCTGAGCCACACCCGGCCGGGCAAGGGCTCCTCTGTAGAAAAACAAAATCCAGCCTCTCGGTTCTCTTAGAGCAGGGCTGGCACACCATGGCCCTCAGGCAAACTTAGTTTACTGCCTATTTGTGTAAATAAAGTTTTACTGGAACACAGTGACACTCATTTTCATCTGCCTAACGTCTGTGTTGCTTTCACACCACAGCATGAGAGTTGAGTGGTGGCAACAAAGACCACAAGGCCTGCAAAGTCTAAAAATTTATTGTCTGGCCCCTTATAGAAAGTGTTTGCCGACCCCCATGGTAAAGTCATTTTGTATCTTGGGTAAGAGGCTTTGGAGTTAACTGTGCTGGATTTGAGCCCCTCCCTGCCGCCCTGTGCTTTGGGACTTGGCCTGCTTCTCCCTGCTGCAGGACGGGGCCAGCACCTGCCTCCCAGGGTGGTGGCGAGGAGTCTGCGACAGAGTCCCGGGCACGGAGCAAGCACTCAGTGGGTACTAGCTCCCACCATTAACTCAGCAAGAGCTTAAATGGAGCATAAGGGTCATATCCCACTTGGAACCCAGATTCAAAAATCTACAAGGACAAAGGACAAAATCCAAGGATTGAAAAAAAAAAATCACCTCTGAAAACCCCTTAGGATAATGGCCCATTACGGACAGTCAGTCCACCACAGCACTAGGTGTCCCTCCAGCAGTTAAATACACAACAGGTCAGTGTTCCTCGGCCAAGGCCCCAGGGAGGCAGCTGGCACTTAGGAGTCATCCATAGAAACAAACTCCAAGACTCACGCTTGCTGTGCTGAGACACGAAGCCCCAGACTCACGCTCGCTGTGCTGAGACACGAAACACCAGACTCACGCTCGGTGTGCTGAGACAAGAAGCACCAGACTCACGCTTGGTGTGCTGAGACGCGAAACACCAGACTCACGCTCGGTGTACAATTTTGCTTCTAGAAACTGACTGGGGTTAGGCAGTATTTGTAAAAACCCCACAAGTGGAAAAGATTCAATTATTACATTGGCAAATACTTACCTGGGAGAAAACCAGTTGATGAGGCTGGAAACCGCCACATAGGACATGACAATGGTCCCTGAGATGGCGAGCGATGCGAAGCCCAAGCCACAGAGGACACAGAGCAGTGAGAGGCCGCCCACAGAGATGACCAGTCCTAGAGGAGAGCTTGGTTAGCAACATTCATCAAAAGCAGCTGGGAGCTGCCAGACCTGGGACCACTGTGTTTAAAACAACAGTTAACTCAGATTTTCTTAAGTGAGAATATACGTTTTTCATAAAACGGGGTCTGTGGGGGAGAAAACAGGGACAGCTACCGTGGAGGGAGCATGGGCTTTCACAGCAGACATGCCTGAGTCTGATGCTAGTTAAGTCTTTCATGGTGTGATTTTGGGCCGTGTGGAGCTTTCGTATAACTCATCTGTTAAAGGGACAAAATAATAAATACCTCTAAGTGCTGACACGGAAATTAAATGACTTACCGTAACGTGTGTGATGGACTGTGGTAGTTTTTGTCTGCCCAGCTTTCCCTGGCCTCCCTCATAACAAACTCCCTCTTTCCAATGTAGAACTAATAACATGGCAAATGGTGTACAGCAAACATCCTTCCCCTTGCCTCGGGGGTGGACAGAGAGCCCAGGACTCCATTCCCACAGCCATGATGAGAGTTTTGGGAATGTACCCCAAAAAGGAAGGAAACCATAGGATATAAATAATGTGCTGCCTTTCCATAAAGACTTAAAAAATCCTAGCTCAATGTTTTCTGAAGTGTGGCCAATAACCACTGTCTGAGAATCAAACACATCAGGAGCCTAGTTAAAAATTCAGATTTATGGACTACACCCCAGACCTCATCTCCAGATGAGGCCTGGAAGTCAGCATTTTCAAAAAGCAAGACTTATGCACACTCAAGTTCGAGACCCACTGTTCTAAAGGCTTTGCACATGCTGTTCCTCCTGTCTAGAAAGCCCTTCCTTGCCCAAAGGAAACAAAGTTATCATGCATCTTAAAGTTCTGTCTTCTGTAAAGCTTTGCATAATACCACCAAAATGAAGGGGACCCCATCTTTCTCTCTAAACCCGCTTTTGTTGCAGTACTTATTCATTCCCCCCCAGTCATTCATTTGCCCACCTGCCCATCAATATTTACTGAATGACCACTCTGCCAGAATGTATTTGGCTTATCGCCTACCATGCCCACCTTCTCCAAGTGTAAACTGCCTTGTCCAGTCCCCTGGGCAGGTAAACAACTCTGGGTGCGCTTAGCTCTGGGAAGCCACAGGATGGACCAGAGGCATCACCTGACCCAGTGGCAACCATCTCTTTGGCCAATATGTTGTGGTTTGTGATCTGATTTGAAAAGGCAAACTGAGCCAAACAGATTTGATTTCTCGGTAATTTTAACTTAGCAACACAGGAAGAAGTTGAGAGTTGGTAATGGAACTTCAGGAGGAAAGGTGAAGGGGGAACCTGGTACCCAGCAAGGCACCTGGCAGGCAGCAGGTGCTCAGTAACTCGCTGTGGCGTCAGTGGCCTCTCAGTTTAATGGTAACAGTCAGCATTCACGGAAACGCACCTCTGTGCCGTGGATTGTGCTAAATCGTTAATGAAACTGTCAGTTTCAATCCTTACAACAACCCTTTGAGACAGTATTATTATATCCCTGTCTTACAAATGAGGAATCTGAGGCTCACTGAGGGTGAGTAACTTGTCCAAAATTGCAGCAGCGGAGCTGAAATTTTAATGCAGACACAAGAGTCCATGTTTTAACTCTTCTGACAAGCTGCCCTGGTCGATGTGATTTTGACAATAGGGACCTTTGACTAGAGTTTCAGGTGCCCAATAAGTACTGTTCTCCCAACTGAGTCATTTTCCAAGAGTACAAATAACTAAGCAGCATACCTTCCAGCAACATGATTCCCACAAAAGCAGCCAGGGAGGTAAGCACCACAAGGAGCAGGAAGGAGCCAACAGGAACGGCTGACAGTGCCACGAACACCAGCAAGGTGAGGGCCACGAAAGGGTGGCCGTCCAGGCACTGGCCCGCCGGAGACTTCATAAAGGCAGCCACCTGCGGGCAGAAAGGAAGAGCCAGGACTGAATGCACGTGGATGCCCAGCTGCAGGCCGCATAGCCAGCAGTCAGAGCTGGAAGGCGCCTAAGTAAGAAGCAAACACAATAACAATCTTCCCAAGACATGAGTCATCACATCCGCAACTTCAGGCCACTTCGAACAAACAGCAGGTTTGAGGGTCCCGCCCACTCAAGTCTTGGGGAAGGAGGAACAACCCAGCCACTGCTCTGCCACTTAGCACTCCACACCCACCCTGGGCAGACGCCCTCAGCTGGAGCACGCACAGATGTGCTTCCATGCAGTTTGCCTCCTACTTCACAGCTGAGGTTTCACAGCGGAGGCCAGAGGCGCAGAGAGGTTAGGTCCTAGCCACCCGGGCATCACCTGCTTGTGAGAAATGCAGGATCTCGGGCCCTGCCCCCAGACCTGCTGAATTAGATTCTACTTTTTAACAAGATCCCCTGGTGATGTGTACACCCATTAAAGTTTCAGAAAGAGTGGATTAAATGAGTCACCTAGAGTCACGCAGCTTCCAAGGGGCAAAATCGAGGCATTCAAAGCTAAATCCTCTTACTCCAAATGTCAAATGCTTTCAACTGCCACCTGACAGGAAAAGTGCTTTTACATCGTCAACCTGGATACCACAGCTGGGCCATGGCTGACGGCTCCTGCAGGCTTCTGCTGCGTTAATAAGTGATCATCTTTCTTCACCAGGTTCAGGATGTTGTGGTCCAGCTCAGCGGAGGTCTGCTTTCATGCAGAGCTGGCCCTAGGCGACTCCGCAAGGATGGGTTTCCTCTCTCCTTGGGCCCCACGCCAGCTCTCTCCTTGGACCTGACATGCTAGCTCCCGCTCCCTTGAAAGGTTCCATCATTCCACAACTTTTCCCAGTAAAAACTGGTCCTTTCTGTGTCTCATTCCTTAGAGCCCTGCAGGCCAGCAGCTGAAATGAAGACATAATTCAAGCTACAATGATCACAGCACCATGACCCCGAAACACATGTGCCTTCTAGAAATAGTTGTCCACCCAAGTGATTCAAATGGTGGGAGCCTAGGACAGGCTGGAAGGCAGGAGGGTTTGGTAGCTCAACCTGACAGTGACCCAAGTGCAGAGCTCACTCTCCTTAACTAGAAAAGGCGGCTCTGGAAGCCACGGCCACGGGGCTCGGAGCATCAGCACTGCCTCCAGAGGAGACCTCTCACGGCAGGACAAACATGTTCTCCCAAACAGATGCAGAGGGCACAGTGCCCACTGGCTACTCTGCCTCCAGCTGCTGCTTTCGACAAAAACTCCCAAGGACTTGGCTATGCAGCTTCTCTAAGCAGAGGGAACAGTACCAGGAATCACCTCTGGCTTGACTACCAGCTTTGATAATCTAGTATCAGAACACAGCAAGATTCTCCCAATAGGGTGGCTGAAGGCAAAAGAGGCGAGACCACGAGAGGGCTGTAGGAGTGGGGCTGGCCCCTTGCGTTGTCTCAGGTCTTGATGGCTTTCAGGCTCCAGACCACATATATCCTTAGTAAGTCCCCCGGGCATCCTCTGACAGGCTGGTCTCTTCTGATTCTTATAAACAACAGCCCCAGTAGCCACAGTTATCACGGAGCAGGTGAGGGTGGAACACAGGATGCCAGCATGGTAGCTATTGGGCACTTGAAATGTGGTTTGTGTGACTGATGAACTGGATTTTTAATTGAATTTATATTTAAAATTTGAAATTTGATTCAGTCATTGGAAAGTTTTTAATTACATTTCAAATAAGTTGGGTATGTCTCAAACAGATTTTCAACTGAAAATTTTATGAATTCTGAATAGAGATCATGTATTTCCAACAAAAACTTAGCATCTGAATCGAGTGCTCTAAGTATATAAAAAAAAAGATGTAAAATATCTCATTAATGATTTTTTTAATATTGATTACATGTTGAAATTATGTTGTTTTGGATATACTGGGCTACATAAAATATATTATTAAAATTAACTCTACCTGTTTCTTTTTATGCTTTTTAATGTGACTACTAGAAACTTTAAAGTTATATACACAGCTCACTTCCATAGGAAAGTAAAAAAACAAAACAAAACCAAAATAGGAAAAAAAAAAAAAGGGAAGCAAACTGCTGGCATTTGCGTAGGACTGTGACAGAGTCAAAAAAATAATTTAAGAAAGATGAGCCTGCAGTCATGTGCAAGGGGCCATTAGGAAGATTTGTGGGAAACCGGACAAGCCATGCTGATAGCCAAGGCTAGGCTGGTGGCACAGAGGCAAGAGGAGATGTGGTTGGAAAGCGGGATGACAGGAGAAACCTCGACGGGGCCTGGGTGCGGACCCAGGAGGAGGAAAGCAGGAGTGCTACCTCCAGTCCTTAAGGAATCTACTTTTTCTCAGCCTCTTCTGAATCTGGGCCCTACAATTAATATTAATTCAATAAACATTTTTAAGAGAAACCACTCTACCTTAGGGCTCTCTGAGGAACATCAGGGCTAAGCCGACTGATGTGTCCCATCGCTCCGGGAGTCAGCTGACCGGGAAGTTATCTAGCCCAGATCTACTCCAATGGCCATGGCTGAGGGTCTGAGATGAAAAGGGAGGAATGCCAAGAAGCCAGAGTTCACGTGCTTGAACGCCGACCTCAGAAGGTGAATGTAAATATTAAGACACACCAAATACCTACCCAGTGTTTGGCCTATAGTAAGTGCTCAGTCAATTAGTATACAGTCATTCTCTATTAATTGTGGATTTGCAGAATCGCCTGCTCACTAAAACTGACACATACTTGTGGTGCTTCTGTGAACATGCACAAAGCCGCAAAAAATCTGAGTGACCTGACACACACATTCCCAGCTGTAGTTAAGCCAGGTGACACTGCCATCTAGTTTCAACTCTCTGAACAACTGTCCTTTCCATGGTCCATTTAGTGCCACATTTTTCCCCCAAATTTTTACGTGTGTTTTTGTTGGTGACTTCACTATTGACAGTGGCACCCATGTGTAAGAAGGCAGTGATGTGCCTTACAGAGAAAACAAAATGTGCTAGGTGGGTTTCACTCAGGCAAGAGTCAAGGTTTAGTTGGCTGTGAGGTCAGTGTTAGTGAGTTAACCATACATATTAAATAAGGTCTCTTTAAACAGAAATATTCATAAAACAGGTATGTATTTATTACTGATGAAAATGTTGTGACCAGAAGTTTTCCATTTCCTAATCCTGTATTTCCCCTAGGAACAGCGGCTCAGTATTTGCTAATTCAGTGTTGGAGGTGACTTTATAGGATACAACTAACATAGAGAATCAAGCGTAGAAGGTAGATGAGCCTGAAGAACTTCCTTACTGAGCTAACTTTAGTAACAAGAGTCTCAGCCTGCTAACTAGAAAACTGCTGTCTAAATCCACAGAGTGCCAGAGGCATTGGGACAAGTCCAGAAAACATCTCTATCGAGTGTATTACTCTAGATCGCAAAGTGGACCGTAGTGGAGTGTGCTACCCACTACCAAAGGATCACAAAACAGTTCGCGTTGTTACCCACACAGCTGCATTTTTATGGGTATATTGTGCAGAAAAAAGTATAGAAGGACATACAGCAAAATGTTAATAATACCGTATCTGAGAGCTGTTATTTTCTCTGACAAAATGCTGAAAGGCATATAAAAGAAAGCTATAAAGATAAATATGCAGGAAAGTGAAATATACTATCTCAAGTCCCATCACCATGGAATAGCTACTGAACCCCTGGAAAGTGGCTAGTTCAAAGTAAAATATGCTGTGTAAAATGCACACTGGATTTCGAAGACTTAGTATAAAAAAAAGTAAACCATCTCAATAACTTTTTACATTAATAATTTTTATGATTACATGTTGAAATGATAATACTTTGGGTATGTTAGATTAAATAAAATATATTATTGAAATTTATTTCATATGTTTCCTTTTACTTTTTAAATGTGGCCCTTTTTTTTATCCTGAGGATTTGTTTATTTATTTATTTATTTGCGAGAGACAGACAGACAGACATTGACTGGTTGCCTCCCGTATGCACCCAGACTTGGGATCAAACCCACAACCTAGGTATGTGCCCTGACCAGGCATTGAACCCACAGTCTTTCTGTGTATGGGATGACACTCCAACCCACTGAGCTCCCTGGCCAGGGCAGCCACTAGAAAACTTTAAATTACATGTGGCTCACATCATATTTCTATTGGACACTGGTAGAAAACTGAACTGATGGAAAACGGAACTCAAATCTTAATGTAGACTTTGGTGCCCTCATTTTCAGGGTAACAGATAAGCAAAAATTAATAACAAAATTAAAAAGACCATGGTATTTGTGACACAGCCTAAGAGTAGCCTCTCCACATCCAGCTAAAGAACTGCATTTGGCCCGGCCAGTGTGGCTCAGTGGATTGAGCGTTGTCCCATGCACCAGGAGGTCACAGGTTCCATTTCCAGTCAGGGCACATGCCTGGGTTTCAAGGGTGTGCAGGAGACAGTAGGGGGCATGCAGGAGGCAGCCGATCAATGATTCTCTCTCATCATTGATGTTCCTATCTCTCTCTCTCCCCCTTCATCTCTGAAATCAATAAAAACATATTTAAAAAAGAACAGCATTTGTCACAAGGGGTGGTCATGTGACTGAATTTCTCGTCTGTGAGATGAAATTGGATGTGTTGTATGTGCGGCTTCCAGGAAGTCTCCTGAAACTCAGGGTGGCTTGCAAGTCTCCCTTCCCCTCTCCTCCGTCCTGTAGCCTGGAATACAGACATGACGGCCGATGCTAGCCATCCTGGACAATGGGTTTGAAGGTCACAACTTAGACACGGCAGGGTGGTAAGCTAGAAAGACTCCTGACCCACCTCCACATTTTTCCTGCTTGAGGGATAGCTTTCTGTGGTGCTTAAGCTAACGTTACCTTGGGATTTTCTGTTACACACACTGAGTGGGAACTGACCTTTGTGTTATTCTGGACAGATTCTACGAGCAAAGACAGCTTCCTCTGCAACTCCTGCAAGTCCTTCGAGGCACCCGGGGTCTCCTCTTTGGCCATGCTGCAACACACTGCAGCCTCTCAGGGATTAATTCTTCAACCAGTAAGCTCTCCGGTGTAGGGTGCAGACGAATCTCTCATGTTGCCCTGTCTCTTGTTGTCACTGGAGGAAAAAAAAGTTTCTTAAACCATTAGTGGTCTCACCCAACTGGCGCAGCAAGAGCTTCTACTATCTTCACGCACTGATGGTGGGCGTGCAGATGGAGGTAACCTGGCGATATCTATCAAAATTTCAAATTGCACACACCTTGACCCAACACTTTATTTTCCAGAAGCATGAAGGAAATAATCAAACAGGTTATCAAAATGCACCAAAAAGGTGCACAGTGCATCCCTGATTATAACATATAATAAGTAGCAAAACAATGGAAAAAGGCTAAGTGTAGGAAATTGGTTAAATAATGAATTCATACAATGGAGTGTTGTATATTAAAATAATAGAGGTATTTAGTGACATGGAAATATGTCCATAAATGAGAATAAATTGTAAGTACTTCATATGGTTACACAAATATTTTATGTACATGTCCCATAGTAAAAGGTCTAGAAGGACATCTAACAAAATGTTAATGGTATGTCTGAGAGCTTATGTTTATTTTTTGGCCTGACAAAATACTGAAAAGAATGTAGAAGCAAGAAAGCAGACTACACTATTTCAAGTCCCAATGCCTTTTTTTTTTTTTTGCCCCAGAAAGCCTTTCTCAAACAACAGTAATGAGGGCCAATTTCTGTATTACCACCCACACCAAGCTGGCTGGCTCCCACCTCGCTGTGCCGTAAGTCATTCTCTTTACTTGTGCCTAAGTCTCTGCCTCTTAACAAGGTGTCAGAGGGGTAGACCTGGCCACAGTTACACTCTGTGACTCGGAAGCCTGGCATTTCCAGCAGGGTCCCAATCTCCCATATTTCTTTTTATTGAGTGTGTGTGTGTAGGGGTATCTATTAATATTATAGGGTCTAGTAACAATTGAAGCACATTTTAATCACCTCAGCTAGAGACCCTCTGCCACAATCCCTTCCATGAAACAGGAACCCCTGGATAGGGGACGACTAGCCCCTCCTCGCCCCGTCTGAAACTGCAGCTGGCGCGGATCTTGGGTTTGGGATGTTCCCAGCACTCATCCCCTCGAGTCTCATTTCCACCCGAGCAGCAGTGAGCCCAGCTCCCCTTGCTGGTCTCCTGGGGCCTGGGAAACTCAGGGCCACCCGGACCGGTTTGGGGAGCCCGACCGGCGGGCGTGGGCTGGGCCGCCCAGGGCCAGGGCAG